GCCAGAACTTCAGTTCTTCTAGCATCTAACTCCGCCATCTGTCTCGCCTAAGAACACCTTTGTTTTCCCAATCTGAAGTATAGAATAGCAAGCTTCAGAGCTTGCCCTTATCTCAAAAGTTTCCTGACAGAATTCGTAGCAAGGATGCTGCTATATATTTTTATTATAGTGTGACCTCTAAATTTATTACCTGATAGCCCTTTAAGCCCATCCTGTCCAAAATTGCAACACATGCTGATTTGTCATCGGATCTGCAGAGAGAATACAGTGAGGCATCTTGTAAGTTGTAATTTGTGAATGTGGATGATATCATTGCCAAGAGAACCACTACATGTGAAGATGGATCTGATGATTTCTATGTTCTAGATTCTGTATAATTGAATTAAGCATGAGTTTATTGGGTGGTATATATTCATTGTAATTGGACATGCAGTTTCCTAGGACTATGCTCAAAGTTGTGCCATGACCTCAAGGTCCTGGCTTCTAATAATCGTGAAAAGCCAAGGTACGAAAAGGAGGTACGCTGATATGTACCCGTCTAAAACATCTGGAGCCAACATTCCAAGCGGTCAAGGAACTCGTCAAATGTCCTTTTAGTTGGGTATCCAGCACAGCTTATCCGAATTGCCTCTAATACACCCTGCCACAATTACCACTACATCTTTGTCAATGGAATCATATTCAAAGTAAGCAGCATGTTGCTATTGGCAAAGTTGGAGAAGAATTTAACTTACCCCCACATCTTAACTGGTTTAAGACGTTGAAGTTCTCAAAGATTCCAGGTTTTAGAACTGCATTGGGCTTTACACATCTGATATAATGTGGCTCCGTTGTGTTCAGGGTTTCCATTAAAGCTTGTAATTGTTGCTGGTTGAATTGACAAGGGAGAAACTCAGGTCTTAGAAATAAATTAATTAAAATGACTCTAATCCATTCATATTTGGCTTACTTTGAAGCGAGTACCAATCGAAGAGAACTTGGATTGCTTAGATGTTTCCTCTGGTAATGGAGGAAAGAGATTTGCAACAAAAGGACAATTAGAGGCATCTAGAAGAGCCTGATGTTCTGCTATTACATAATCCTTGTTTTTGTCGAGGAATTGATCAGCTTGATAAGTAACCTATTTGACCAAAAGGGTCAAAGTGAGAAGCACTGAATTTTGCATGTAAGTGGATAGGAAAAAACAGAATGCATGATTCTGCTTACGTCTCCAGCATAATGGTTGATTGTGAAGTCAGTTCGAGCAAGCTTTGGCTTACTAAAAACGTTTGTGTGCTTTATATGTCTGGTACATCTTCTGTGCAAATGTCTCATGGGTTGCCTTGGGAAACATACTGCAGAGGAAAGAAATCTATATTATTTATCCTATTCCAACCCGATCCTCTTTAAGGAGAGTATAGTGTTTTTTGGTCCCCTCAAATAGCAAGGGACATCGATGTTAAGTGCCTGGGCTGGGTCACCTAGCCGCGGCTTGAACCATAGATACACGGATCATAGATACTCCTACGTCCCACGACCCAAAATGGGGTCGGTTTGCGATCCAAATGCTCAAAGTAATGTCTCTAAATTATAATTCAAATCGCAAATTGATTCATGATTTAAGTAATCTTACATCATAACTCCAATCTCAAATCATAACTCTAACTCGTTATTTCTTTATTTTGGTATTCTTTAAACTCATAATTGTACAACATTATTAGAAATATAAAATAAATATTTATTAACTATGTGTATTCTGATATATTATTTTATACAGGAGTTACAAAACGAACTATGACCCAAAATAATATGCCAACTAAGTCTACCATCATCGTACCACGTATTGAAAGAAGTAATGTAGTACTAAGCCGGTCAACGACATGATTAACAAACACAAATCAACACAGAGTTAAGCGGATTTAGGTGAGGTCTTATCGGGTTCGTGTGGTAAATGAGTGGACCCGCCAGTCCTGTTTAATAAACGGGTCATGTTCGGGTGAGATATGTTAATCCGTTTATCACCCATTTAAATAAAATTAATATAACAATAAATTAATAATTATTTAAAAGCATTATTAATTAGATAAGTTTAAAAAAAAAAGTTTAACAATAATTTTTTAGAGGATGCTCAAGTAAACGGGTCAAACGGGTGATTGTGTTAACCCGGCCCTACTCGACCCGATTCGTTTATAAACGGATTAAACAAGTTGTGTGTGGGTTAATGGTTTTCCACATGAATTCAATTAGACCCGACTCGTAACCGTTTAACCCGGTTGAAAACCCCTACGTACCCGTACTCGTACTACATACTGAATCAACTCACGATCCAGGTAACATTGCCTTGAACTTTAACCTATGTAAATTAGATATTTTTCTCTTTTCTTAGATCTGTCTTATATAATTAATTAAGATTCTTATGGTGTTGCAAGTAGGGAAATTACTTACCAGGCTTCATCAAGAAGAGCAATTATACCCCCAGGTTTCTGCATGTAAATATTTACATTATCATCTGGAAAAGTTTTATCATGGACAGGTAATGTATAAGATCGAAATAGAAGGGCTTATTAATAGTCAATACCTTCTCAATGAGATCCAAAAACGTCTTGGTTATCAACAAATTCTACATAACTCCAGTTGATTTCCTCCATCGTGTACTCTTCTTGCTCCATCTTGAACACATGCTGTAGATGTGTTTTCCCAATTTAACAGTATGTACAAAGCATGGCAGTATGCATCCTACTCCTACTAATACTATTCATATGCATTCGGAAGATATAGTTGTGGAACAAATAGCTTTGACAGAAACCATATTCAGTCATCCTCCCTACTCTACCTGATTAAAATGCTGTTGCAGCTTCTCATTTGTTAAGTTGATACACAACTGCTCAAAACTGACACATGAAGCACACAATAAGATCTTGGTTTTTGCTGTAAAAAATTTTATATGTCGAGAAATGATCAAATCTACCATTGTTTACCTGTTGATCTTGAAGCTCTCAAAACCATAAATATCAAGGACTCCAATAATGCTTTTTGCATTGGGATCCTGACCAATTGAATTATTTATCTTGTCCACAATCCTGTCATTGTTCAAGTTCAGCACCAAATTATTTCTCACTTAGTATAAAATTAGGTTGTGTGTATCAATCACATTAAACTTAGAAGATGGGACTTCGAAGCCAAAATCATTTTGGAGTTACTGGAAATTCAACAGCTCAGCTCAGCGTTTTGTGATTACTTCTATGTTGATTGGTAGCATCCCAGAATGGGGGTTGGAATTTTGCTGTGAGACATGATTGAATTTTTAGGAATTCCAAGGATGAAATTTTTAGGAAGCTTGATCCGGGCCGGAATTGTAATATGTTTTTGCTTTGGTATATTTTTGGACTGACATAAAAAATATAACTTAAGTTAATTAGGGGTAATAATGATCACAATTACAAATTATAATATAAAAGTAAATTATCAAACATTTAGTGCTAACATATGCTTTTCAAAAACCTTGAGCAATGTCCACCATAGGGAAGTAATAAGTGTCCACTATTTGTGAAGAAAGAAACAAGCCACGCATGTGTGTGTGACAAGTGCTTGTTTAAGTGTCCAAATGCATAAGTAGTCTAAATAATGGCTTGACAAGTGACCAAGCCATGTGTCAACCAAAGTAAGATTGAATTCATGCAAGGAGACACATGTTCCTTGAATTTGGCTATAAATAGAGGCCACCTCTCACTTGTAGAAACCATAAGAAATAAAGAAGAGAGGAAGAAGACAAGAGAAAGGGAGAAAGAGGGAAGACAAAAGAGAAAAAAGAGTAGTGAGCTTGAAGAGAGCATTAAATGGTTTCTAGTGATCTGACCCAAATGAGATTCAAACATGATATAACTTAAGGTACCTATCCACTGAAAACGAGTTACTATTTGAGGTACGGGGTAGTATACAATATGCTCTTTCTAAATCTCTTTGTAATAAGTGTTTTTTTGATTATCTGAAATTTGTATTTGTATTGATTATTTTTTATTGATATGAGATACTGGAATTTTTGTTGATTCGAGCTATATGTGTAAAACCCGAAAAAAAAAAATTTATTATTATTAAAATCCTAATAAAAGGGGTAAAATAATAATTAATTGTTAAATTATGGGTCAAAAACGTAAATTTCAAAATAAAAAAAATAATATATATATATATATATATATATATATATATATATAGTGGAAGACTTTGTCTTCCACTTTTTATGTCTTCTACAGCCGGCGAGACAGAGAGAGTGAGAAAAAAAAATGAGTTTTTATTTTTTTTTCTCTTTTCTTCCTTCTCAGATCTAGGAAAATTTAACCGTTTAATCGCTTTGGGCCAAGAACTAAAGTTGCTCTACTCAGCGAGAGCTACACAACCACACAAAATCGTATTTTTCTTCGAAGGAATATCAAAGCTGATAATCTAGACCTAAAACTTAGGAAACTAAATTTGGGCTTCCTTGGCGTTCTAGTAAGTGGTCTCACGCTACGAGAGGTAGGGTTTCCCCTATTTAGATTTAATTTCAACTTAAAATATGATATGGAATGAGTAGATATGAGTGTATATCACATGTTAGGTCTTGACTAGTGTGACTAGTGGGTCAAATATAGAATTTATAATTAATCTTGTGATTAATAAAATTCTATTGTGATTAATTGGTGTAAGTTAATGTTAGTAGTTTAAAGCATGTTAATTGTATGTTAGCATTACTTTATATTTTAATGGTAGATCAAGTTTAATAAAATTATTAACTTGTTATATGATTGTGAAATAATATATATATGTTAAATGATTATTTAACATATGATTATTTGGTGGACTTGTGCTTATGTTAAACATGTTGTCATGTTGCAAGTCATAACATGCTTGAGATCGTGTTAAAATGTCATTATATTGTATTCATTATGTAATAGATATTGTATTTTATTATGCATGAGTTGCACTACATTCATGGGCATTGACATGGGTGGGAGTGTATGCATGGTATGAAATCAATCACCACGTAGGTGGTTGAACGTGGACTCGGAAAAGTCGCACCAAGGTTCGGTTGAGTCGCACGAGAAATTAAATGGATAAATGTGTTGGGGACAGCACGAAGGGCTAGATTCTCCCTCGAGTGCAAGACCCGCTTACTTGGTTTATACACTTTTCGGCGGTAAAATTCCAGAAAAGTGTAACGGCGAAAACGGAGCCGCAGGTGGGATGTCCTGAAGATCTGTTGATGGTTGGTGTCCCATTGGTGTAATACCATAAATCACCTCCCCACAAAGACACAAGAAAATGAATTAATTAGTCATTGAGTGTACATAACACCAATGATGGGGGCTTGGAATGCTCGGATACATACGCATGACATTGCATGTGTTATAGGAGCTTAGGATGGGGCTCGGGGTTGGTATTGCTTGCGTGAGTCTCATCTCATGGCATGACATGATTTATAACATTCAATCATAATAGACATATTTGAATGAATGTATCAAATGATTGTTGCATGTGACATTCCATATGCATTTAGGTTGAGAGGTATTCTCTATAGGAGTTACTCTATTGAGCGTTGACTCACTCTTTATGGGAACATTTTTCAAGTATCGCACAGGCGTCCACCGAAGGCGAGGCCATGGGCCCGCTTTGACGACAGAGTCGGTCTGTGGCTTTTATTTTGACATTGTAGTCCCTGTTTTATACTTACTTTTGGCCTTGTATAATTTTTGTAACAAACATTTGTTTATATTTACAAAGGCATGTATATGAGACTCTTTTGGGACATTTATTCTTTTACGAATAAATGTATGTACTGATAATAATTATGGTAGTATTTGAGACTATGCAATTGTGAATGGATAGATAGACCCGGTGTGATCAATATTGTACAGGTTGCGTTTTGAGTAGAGCTCCTCGTACAAAAGAGACTCTGCCCAAATTTTGTTAAGTTATAGATCCCGAGAAATGGGGTATAATGGTGTGGTATCAAATTACACGATATCCACCAGTATTACACAGGTCGATGGATAATCAATCGGATAATTACAGACACCCGGACTTTGGGGTGTCACAATATGTTGGGCTAAATACTTTGGAACTGATTGGTACATGTACGAAGTATACTTGGGACATGTTTAGTAAAATGAGATTGACTTTGGAATTGATTGGTACATGTACGAAGTGTACTTAGGACATGTTTAGTAAATGAGATTGTGGCCCTACGGGGTGTGTTTATGGCTCTGCGGGGTATGATGGTTTCGATAAGAGTGTGTATTTATATGCCCAAGTGTCACTTTGTCATGTCACTAAGATGACTCGAATATGAAGTTATGTTTAATAACAGCTGAGTGATGTGACATGTCCAATTTGATTGTTGATTCTACTGTTCATGTTTTCTATCGTCTGAGTTATTTAGTATTTGATCATTCGTATTTTTTTTTATTGTTTAACATATTGTTTCTTGTGGTATTGTATATACTTCCCTTCTTTTAATATTTTTCAGGTTGACTAGAGGAAAGAACCAGAGTTGAGATATAGATTGAAGATTAGAATTACAGTTTTAACTACTACTGGTTTTTCTTTTGTGGTGTCCTTTCTGTAGTTTGAGTAATAAAACATGGACAAGGGTCACAATTGAAAGTGCTGGTTTGGAGGGTTTGCATACCAGTCAAACAATCTGGAATATATTGTCTTTGCCAGGGCATCACGGCTCGTAACAGCTGCAGCTGGGTCTAGTAATTTTGTAATGTTCCCATCTGGAGTGACAATTACCCGCTTGCAGAGTGAGTCCTCAAGTGCATTCTTGTCACACCTGGGTAGACAGTACATATATATCATAAGGAGTTAACAAAGAGCAATAAGGAGTGCCAAGTTGAGCAGAGTTCTGACATGAGTAGCTCGGCAGCAGTCTGAAGATGATAGAGTGATTTCTCATCTTTCAGTTTGGAAGAATCAGGTTCCTTCCCTTTTATGAAGTCGATGTTTCCCAGATGGAGTATTGCAGCTACCACGCGGAATATTGCTTCCTACAAAAGGAAATTCCAATTTTGTTCAGTCTTATTATATTTAAGGGCCTTTTTGTTTTGTATTTTTGTCTTTGCACTGATCTGGAGGAACTTACCTGCTCATCCTGGCTGATCCCAACAACATCCATGGCATTTCTGGTTTCTAGATACTCCCTTGCATCATCTACATTTGCTACTTCGTAACAGTTTGTTTGGTTTAGATAGTGGAATGTTCTTGGGTCTCCTAGTTTGAATTTTTTTGCATCCTGGAAGGAAAATGTTGTGGTTCAGCTAGCTATATACAGTGTGTCATGCAAGTGGTATGTAGGATCAGATTTAAAAAATGAAAGTAACCTCTGGTGGTGCTGCACAGAGCATGTAAAAGCAGTGGTAGTTCCTCTCTGGGTCGGAGACTTGGCAAACACGCGATCTTTCGAGAAGATATGTTCGGACTGCAGCCCCCGATATCTTCCCATGCTTATCAAATTGAATCTCTACAAATTTACCAAAACGACTGGTACAACCACTCAGTCATTTTAATATTTATGTAAGTTCCTTCAAAACAAAATGGCTATAGTTTGAAGCGTTCAGTAATAAGATAGAAATGAAAGATATCCTCTTAATTCACCTGGAATTGTTGTTTTTCACAGTTTTGGCGTTCCCAAATGCTTCCAGGACTGGATTGGACTGAAAGAGTGAGATGTAAGTTCTGATTGTAGTTTTGTGTAAGATATTTACATGAAGTTAGTTTTACCCACCTCCAATACTTGTTGTTCAACTGTTCTTCCTTCAGTGCCAGATCTACCCCCCATGAATGCAAGGTATCTCATCAACATTTTTGTTGTCTCGGTTTTACCAGCTCCGCTTTCTCCACTTACCAAGATTGATTGACTTCCATGTTCATTTATCATTGCCCTGATGTGTGGAATTAATGGAAAAATTATATTAGATCATGCATTATGCAAGACCATTTGGTGTCACCCAGTATATATATCTTGTGATGATATACCTGAAACAGGTATCAGCAACAGCGAAAAGATGTGGACTTAGCTCGCCAAAAGCAGCTCCTTTGTACTGCTCCATCATGTGGGTATCATACAAATGTGGCAGCCTCCAGAAAGGATTTACCGCTATTAGAATATTTCCCGTGTAAGTCTGCTTGTTCCAGCATTGCATAGGGGATTCATAGTTGTTAGTACATCTGTATTCTAAAGTTTTCAATGGATCACTGATCAATTTTACTCCAAATTCTGTGGTGATGGTAGATTGTGACTCACATATATTTCATTAAGAGCAAAACGACAAGCAAGGTTGTGGAGGACTCCTGGCTCATGGAGGTAAGCTAACTTGGTCATGTCATCAACCCCAGCTGGTGGTGCTTCTGTGTCCTTTGGGTATATGCTGGAAATAGCTGCAACAATCTGCAAGGAAGCTGATAGTCAGAATACTTTATTTGTTAGATACTTGATATTTTAGATTGTATGCACCCTACCATATTGGAGACTCCCCTCCCAACCAAAAGTAGAACAGAGGTTAATAATTTGGTTGATGCATTAGTTCTAATGTGTTGTGAAAATTTTCAAAAAGCTAATCGTAGTTTAAGATACAATGGAATTGAACAATTTTTTGTCATTGCAGTAAGATGGTGTCAACTCTCTGAAGAAAATTGTTCTGTTATTTTTTTACCCGTAGGTCATTGTCTCTGTTTATAAAGCTGTAGGAAAAAACAGAAAAGGACAAAAAAAATTATAAAGTTCGGGGAAAAGAAACATTCCTATGCAGAACTTAGTATCTTTTAATTTTTTTTGTTTTGTTGACAGGTTTATTAAATTCACAGCCTTGGTCAATGGAGACCAAACAGGGTAATGACATGTTATTAATCAACTTTCTCGTTTCTCTGTTCCACAATCTTGTCTTATTTACGAACGAGTTTGTTATGGCTGGTGCCATTTAACATGAATAGGAAACTTACGAGTTGTGATATGATTGATTAAGATGGTAGGAAGATTTCATATAGCTATCTCTTATCTAGTGTTCATCACCTAGATCCCAAAACCATTACTATTCATGGCATTTATATTAGGCTACGTGTCATATGTAGAAGCTTATGAAAACTCATATGGTTGCATTTGGTATCAATTCTACATCCTTTAATACTGCCACATAAATGATGCAATAAACGACTCCGTAATTTGATCATAGGAATTTATCTACTTTAAAGATATAGTGGGGAATAGTTGCTTACAGTCTTCTCATTGGTGGTAACTATGGTGGCATCAGCCCCTTTGATTTCTATCACTTCTCCATCGATCCAGGCATCTTCAGGATCCTCAGCCCAGACGTGTGATCCAACTATAATGTTTACAGGAGTTCCCTATCATCAAAGAATAACAAGAAATGACATTAGGCAGTTTATTCTTTTCAAAAAGCAAAGATTGACAGTGGATTAGTATGAAGAAAATATAAACCCGCAATCAACAGGAAGCTTACCATTGATGTGAGTCTATGATCATAGAATTCAGAATGGAAACAGAAAGAGATGAATGAATCCTTTTTGTCCTTGAGAGAGAGATATTTTGGAAGATGCTAGTGTTCTTAAGGAATGAAGGGGTGGTGGATTGTAGGATTCTGAAGTAGGGAAGAATGTTGAAGAGGAAAGTTTCAAAGCAAATGAAAAGCAGAGGAAATGAAGGAGGTGGTAACTCAAAAGAAAAAGGCAGAGCAGCCACCCCTCGCCTCCCCTCCCCCACCTTCTGTCACCTCTTTTTGCTCATTCCACATTGGATGCTGACTTGGCACCAGAAGAAGCCCTCAGATATAAAATTGTATTACTTTTAAGGGGGGTGCCAGCTGTGTGATTCCGTGTCATGCAGAGGAGAGATTTTCTTTTCAATGCTTATTGCAGCCCTCTGATGAGTGGACCCATTGCTTTGCTATGTTAAGGTCCTTGTGTTCCTAATTATATTGTGCATTACCAAGCATACTAGGTAATACTAGCTTTGATGGTGTGGTTATAAAATTTAAAGCTTGCTTTTTTTAAATAGTTGTTGCCTTAACTTTCTCTTAAACCAATAGGATTAAGATGTGTTGCTATCATTCTTTTGGTATGTTTAATTAATGTCTTAACTAAATGACATTAGTGCCCCCATTTTCAACATGCAATCTCACTTTCCCATTCCTTTTGTCAGTTTACAGGTGCATTTAGAACTGACTAAAAGTGTGTTGATGATCTCAAATGCATTGCCAAATTGTGTAACAGGGAGTGCTGTTATTACTTAGATTGCCTTTCTTTACCTATTTTGTATGGATACAGAAACAGTTCCCTTTTTCTTGTTGATTTTTCTCATGAAAAATTTAAGAGTGAATTGTTTTAGACTTTCTTTTGCTAATCGAGAACCGTTTCAACCATGCACCATTTTGACTCTTAGCTGTTACATAAATGCAGTATGCATATAATCACTCTCACACCACTCACAATGAGCCAATTAGAACGGCTCGTGACTTGTGAATTTCAAATTTGGGATCTCTTGGTATTAACTAATGAAAGTGTCATCCGAGCTATCTTGACCGGTTGCTTTAGACTTCTTGTATTTTTTGTGCTGCTCTTGTCAATTGCATGCATTTTTCATGTGCAGCAAGGAAACAACTTGAAGGTACCTCTAAAGAGATGGATGAACTGGGTGAGACCAATAAGGATACATTTCTGAAGGAGGCACACAATGGTCACATGTTTACAAGTCAATGGGATCATATGGGGATTCTAGTGGCGAAGGATAGAAAAGAGAAGGTGATATCATCTCTTTGAATGGTGAAACTTGGGTCCCACTAGGACACCTGTAAAGGTAACACACCTTTGAAAGGCCCCACATTTTCCACATTCAAATTCCTCCCCCCCACCCACCCATCCTTTTGTTGTGGTCAGATGGGCCTTCTGGCCATGAATATGAATTCAATTCCTCCTTTTCCTTTTATTTGGGACGGTGGAGATGGTGAGCTTTGAGTTGAAATCTTTCTTGGGTATCCGTTCACATGGCAAAAAGGTCCTGTATTGTGGGACCCATAAAAGCTTTCCCTTCCATTGCTTTCCAACCAAGCTTTCTTCATTCATACTTTTCATTGTTATTTTAATTTTGTTTTGTGTCTATGTACAATAGAGTAATCATTATTATTCTTGCTTATAAGGCTGTCTTAATCAGGTGGGAGGCAATTAGCATTGCATGTGGCCTCTATAGTCCCTAACCTGTTATCTCTGCCACATATAGAGGACAGATCTTGATTCCCAGAATTTCAATTCTTTCGATTTAGAATGATAACTATTGTAAATTGCGGGAAAAATATAGAGATTTGAAAGTTTATAGGTAAAATGAAAGCGTAACATGTTCGAAGTTTGGGTTAGGGTATCTCTAATATTGATCCAAATTCAAACTCAAATTTGAGAAAATTTAAATTTAAAGTAATGCAAACTCAAATTTGAATGAAGGTGAAATTTGACAATTGAAAATTTGAATAAATATTTGAGTCTGCCTTGATTTGAATAAAAAAGTTGAGTCTTCTTTCATTTGATATATGTTTGAGTAAAAAATAGGAGTTTGTTTTTACTCAAATTTAAAAGGGTTTAAATAAGGAGCGGAGATGACCTTAGTGGTGGAATTCAGGTGTAAATTTGCATGTCTTGAGTTTGAGGATTTAATTGATGAACATAGTTTGTAGGAAATTATGTATATTTGAGGTTTACTTTGTAGTCACGAGTTTTTTGTTGGTCATTCAAAAGGGGGAAAAGGGCGATCAGTAGGTAATAATCATTCTTAGGCGTGACCATGAGAGTTTTACTTGTTGTAAAATGTTTGGTCTCAATCATAGTTATTAACTTGGAAGAATAGTTCGTCACTACAGTACCATCAAAACCGAGTAACAAATTATATTAGTGGATTGAACTTTGCTTGATAATCACATGAGAATAAAGACGAGCCTAAATAGTTACGGATTATTGCCAGACCACCAGCTTGATTGTGTAGTCACGAGTTCAAAAGACATGTAATTGAGATAATTTTCTATTATCACAAAAAAAAAGAAGAGAAATTTTAACATGGATAATTTAACTTCTAAAGAAAATGTTGGTTACAAAGTTTAGTGAAAGAGTGAAAATTAGATTAGAGGAAATGTGAAAGAATAATCTTGTAAGAGTGAAAATTAGATTAGGATTCATTTCATTATTATATTCTCTCAGTATTAGATTTTCCATCGTGTATTAGAGACGCACCCACTTGAATAAGATGGATTCAAAAACCACAGTGAAATTGAACATAAGCCTACATGAAATTGGGTTTAGGGGAACAGAAAAATGACACCACCAGCTAATGAGTTTGTAAATGGGCCATGATTGGTCTGTTTAATTAATCATGTCGACATTAATACGAAATTGACCCATCAATGACCCAAAATTGATCCGCCATAACCTGAAATTAACCTGCTAATTATGTAGTTATTTGTGCTAAATATTTTTTTTTTGAGTTTGATTTAGGTTAAATAGGTCTAAAATGTGAATGAAAGGGATAAAATAGGTAATTGCTTATGTGAAATACATTTTTTTGGTTTGATTTAAGTTATGTCAAATACGAGTTGTGTTTGTTTAATGTACTAGATAGATCGTGTTAATCTAAACACAATCGATGTATTAATTGTGTTACTTAGGTTATGTCGGATTATCCGTTTTAGAGTAGAGTCATATTCATGTCGGATGATTTGATACGATTAATTAAACAAATTATGTTACAATTGAAAGATTTTTAATACTAATATAAAAACAATACAATTTAAACATGCAAGTAGATGATCTGCAGAGATAAGTGTGCAACCTATCATGGTCTTGTGTCATTTATTTCCCTGTTGGCGCAGATTCATTCCCTTGTTGTGTGGAAAATGTAAAACTTGTGGCTGGAAGGCCCAAAGCAAAAGGTAAACCCACTTTGTTTTCTGTAGGCCCAATGCTGTACAAGGTAGGCCTGTTGGATATGCCCTCAATTACCAGCACCAAATGTGTTAGACTAGTTTTTGTGATCTTTTTATTCTGTTTCTTGGCCTTATGATGTAATTTTTTGTTTGCTACCAATGACTTCTAAACCAATACTAGGACTGGCAAAAAGATGTCATGTGAGTTATTGAGGTGTTCTAAGTTGTATTGTATTGAAATTTGCTATATCTATGAGAATTTATGCGTAACTGTGTATAGTGGAATTCTTGTTATGGATAGGTTGTATTGTATCGTGCATATTGTGGTTCATGTCAACATATTTTTGTTATATGGGTCTAGCCGACTTTAAAACGCGTTGTATAGTGAAAGTTCAAAGCTCACACTTTTGTACCTTTTTTTTTTATGGTGTCAAATATTATTATAAGAGAAGGGGAGAGAAGGGGACGATGAAGTTCGAATCAACTAGATGGAGTCATCACAATCTATTTCCCTTAAACCCAAACGTCCTCGTTTTGGCCCTACCCCAACCCGGGTGATGTGGCCTTCCGGGAGATTACTCCCACCATGCTAACTGCCACCATCTCAAGTCACCACCATGCCGACTAGGGGATGACCTCCCCACCACGAGGGTCAATAACTCTGATTCAAGTGCATGCAAAACAGGGTATCCACTTGGGCCGAATGAAAGAGAGGGTGCGGCTGTGCTTGTGGAAGTCTGGTCCATGAGAGCTGCCACTGAATATGGCATGTCCTTGTCTCTTTCAAAGCAGTGTTACCCAAGTAATACTATACTCACCAAAATGTTATAAATGTTAGCATTTGTGATATTTTTTTTAATTTTTAATTTTATTTCTAATTATTATAATAAAATCAATTATATCCACCTATATGCTTTCATTTAATTTCTATTTTTTTTACTCCTATTTGACTTTTAATTTGTTTTGAACTCTTATATAAAGACTCATAAATTCTTTTAAACTCATTTATTAGCAATACATTTATATATAATTTTATATATCTATACTACTTTAAAATATCAACAAAAGTGAAAAACTTTTGTTTAAATATTTTACCCTTAATCTTTGTTATAAAGTCAATTATATCCTCTCATTTTTTTTATAGTTAGTTTCATAATTTTTTCATATCCTTTCATCTTCTTAAATTAATTATGTGCATAAATTTAACATTTAATTATATTCATTTGAGTTTTAACAATTAATTTTAACCTTTAATTTTCATTTTTCTTGACCAATCTCATCTTATCTATACTACTAATATATTCTATAATTTATATCTATATCTATATCTATACTACTCTTAAAAGTCCTTTAACCCAAAAAACTTTTAATTTTTTTTAATCCTCCATGTATACTATAATCACCATAAAACCAATGTGTATATATATCTATATATCTATATCTATATCTATGCCTATATCTTACGTTGTTTAGACGCTTTCAATTCTATTAAATTTATCTTTCATCATAATTATTGTAACTTAATGACAATAAATATTGATTAATTATTTTAAGTTTTTCATATTCTTATTCTTTCTCAAACACAGTGTTATGAAATGAATACGTGATGAATCAATTCAATCCATCATTATTCCACACCTTAATCGAACTGTTTCTCCTTGCCTATCTCCCTTTCTTTCTCTATCTCTGACTC